CATCCCTCTGTTGGCAGGGGAGGAGGAAGATTGTTTTTTCAAATTATTTTTCTTAAGTTTATTTATTTATTTTACGAGAGGCAGAGACAGCACAAGTAGGGGAGGGACAGGGAGAGAGGGTGCGAGAGTGTAGAGCTCAAACTCACAAAACCGTGAGATCAAGAGTTGGATGCTCAATGGATGGAGCCAAACCAGATGCCCTGAGAAGATCTTTCTGATGTTGTTCAGTATGATTAGGGAGGCAGAGGGAGTTAGTCATATGATGAAAGAAAAGATTCTGAGAAACAAGAGGCTTTGCAAAGCGGATTAAGGGGGATGTGTGTATTGGGGGTGGGGCATCAAAGAATGTGCAGGGGGAGTGCTCACGTGACAAATATCTGCCACGGAGATTTGGACATTGTGGCAGTGCAGGGCTGGTACAGTCAGGTTGAGCAAACACATTTCATGGGTAGGCCCTTCGAAGAAGCAATGGGCGTGGGGTAAGATCGCTTTGGATTTGGCAAAGTCTCGTTAGCTTCTCAAGCTCCCTACAATCTCAGTTGGGCTTTAAGAGTTGCCTATGTAAGTAAAAGTGTCAGCATCATCAGTGTGGGCTCACCCCTCCACACCCAGGGGAGCTACAGCACTAGGGGTAGGTGCCGTGCCTGGGTGAGATGGAGCGCCCCTGTCCATGGTGCCCACCAGGGTCCAGCATGGGCTGTGCATGCTGCCAGCCAGAGGGCACCTGGCTGTTTAGACGAGCCAGGTCTCCAGCAGACAGATGTTCCCCTTGCCCTGGTGAGGCTGGACTCTTTCCAGAGCTGGTTTCATTGCCCCAGCAGGTACAGGGTAACAGGGGCAGCTGGTTGACCTGTTTTTTGCCTCTCCTGCGGAGTTGAAATCAAGTTGTAACAACGGCCACAGCCTCAGACTGGTTTCTCTCCATCAGGCTCCATTACTGAACTTCTACATACTTAGAAGTGTGAGTGGAGTAGAACATAATAGGTTTTCATTTATTATGAGAGAGAAAGAGCAAGAGAGAGGGGCTCACAGTGAATGCAGTCATAATGGTTGAAGGCTTTCCAAGGAGATGGACAGGGCAGGGTCAACCAGAGGGGTCCCCCATCTCTCTGGCTCCAGAGTAAAGGTGAAAGGCAGCTTTGAAGGACTGCTGGGAGCTGGCTTGGAGGCGTCACTGAGGATTACAGACATTATATACAAAGCCTTGATCTCCATTTTCCACCAAGACATTTCCTTGACCCAAAGTACAGCCCTGACAGGTAAGCCCCGAAACTGATGACAAAGGGGGTACCGATGACAAACTCATCTTTACGGAGCCATTCCTATTTTGCAGGCACCGAGCGACATGCTTTCTGAGCAGAAAGAATCTCACAGGGACCTCACCACAATCCTAGGAGTTAGGTTCTCTTTTTAGCCTTAATCTACAGGAGAAGAAATAGTCGTTTAAAAAGTTGCAAGACTATTAAGTGGCAGCACTGGTATTTGAACCAAGTTTCCAGTTTAATAAAAGCCTGAATTTTTAATGATCACACAGAAACCCCAATGTGATTAATCCAGTCTACCCTAGCGATTAGCAGCCTCATCATAGAACCTTCCTCTCACCTTTGAAGGAGACAAGAAGTATAAATGTGCGGTGTCCTGAAAGGTGTGTCTGAGAGGAAGAGGCACAGTCTCAGTGCCAAAGTCTGGGTTCTTTGGGGAGTGGTACTGGCCATAATGTATGAGCACACACATCGCCCTGAAGCATGTGGTACTGGAACCATCTTCCCAGGCCCAGCCCTTGGCACCCCAGCGACAAGGTGACATCTTCCATAAAGATGGTTGCCAGTGGGTGATGGATATTCAAATAAGATCTCTGTGTGATTGGTGCTCTTATTTTTCTCTTGGACCATTTCCAGCTCAGCGACTAAAAAACAAATCAATCACCAAGTGGAAATACAGTGGAAGCCTAAATTTAGTCCTCCTAAACAGAAATACTCTACCGTTATTGAGAAAGCTGGCTTCAAGGAAAACACTATTTACCCCAAATTTCAATGAGCAACACATGAATTTAGATAACGGGATGATGAGGTTCAGCCATCCGACATTGAGACTCTGTCCATATTTAGAAGGCAAAGAGTTGTCCTAATATTTTAATCATTGCCGCTCCATTGTGAGGAAAAGAGAATTGCTAGCAATTCTGAGATTGCTTGTGGCTGGAGGTCCATCTCAGGCTACTGAGTTGCTCAGGAGACTAGGAAAGAGCCAGCTAAGGTAGCGGAAGGAAGGATCAGCGAGCCTAGAAAGGTGTCCCTCAGAAGTCATAACCACAGTATTCTTAGGGTGACATCCTACAAATGGCCTCCAATGGCCACGACTCTGCTTACAATCAGAACACTAGTCACAGGCCTGCAAAATGCTGAGAATGTCCTTCTAATCACTCCAGTACCTGGCTCCCTTCCAGCCGCTCTGCACTGCACCCACAACTTCATCCCAGGGGTCAAATTAAATTCACTCTCACTTGAAGGTTATGTTGTGAGCAGCTCACCCCAAACATTGTAATTTAGCTCACCCCGCGCTGCTCTAGACTTGAACTTGGAATAAAACATCCATCAGAATTTTTCTAATTAAACTGGCATAAATTAAGGCTTACTATCAAAATCCGAACTTGGTCACAGAAATCAAAATGCAGAGGCTGCCAGGTGCTTCTCGTACCCAACCTTCACACCGTGGTGACCTGTCCGAAAGTGTTTTTTTTTCAGCTACAAATTGCTGTATTTTTTAACAAAAGAAGGGCCAAACTGTGTAACGCATCTGCTTACCTTTAAGGCGAAGAGGAACACAGGGCCTGTCTGTGGAATCCTCATCCATAACTCCCAGAACCGACCCGAGGCTCCAGGGCAAGGCGGCAAAGGGAAAGGAGTCTCAAGCTAGGTCTAGTATGAGGCTTCACAGAATGTTAATCAACTTGATGAGAATCACACAGCCCTCGGGCGAGAGTTGTGCGCTTGCCCTTTCTCGAAGCAAAGTGTGGCCGGGGTGCCTCACCCAGCAACATCAGGATCACCTGGAAGTTGTTCAAAATCAAAGTCTCAAACCCTCCCCAGGCTTACCGAATCAGAAACTCTCAGGATGGAGACGACATTCTGTGTTTTAATAAATCCTCTAGTTGATACCGATGAGGTTTTTTTTGGGGGGTGATATGGGGTTCACAGGGTCTGGAGCCAATGACCAAGAAAGAATTCTTGAAGACGCCTTTGGTGCTCAAAGGTGATTTTATTAAAGCACAGGGATAGGAGCCGTGGGCAGAAGAGCTGCCCCAGGACCATGAAGAGATACTGGTTATATACTATGGAGTTGCGGGAGATAAAGTCCAGGGGAAGTTTCCAGTGAGATTTTCATATGCTAAAGACTCAGAGGATATTGGAGGCCTAGTTCTTGTCAAGCTAGGGTTGTTTTTCCCTACAGAAAAGCATGAACATTAAGACAGTAGGTAGTTCCTGGAGAAACGTTTTACCTGCCAGCCTCAAGTATTTGTCAATGGGCTACAGGTTAGAAGGAAATCAAATAAAGGTGGCTGAAAGAAACTGTTTGGGTGGGACAAGGCAGAGTATCTATTTACTGGTAAGAAAGGCAGGAGAGGTGTATTTGATTGCATGAGTCACTTTGGCAGTGAAAGGGGCTCTTGTCAAGATATATCATTAAACAAATAAGAAAAATATTAGGCCTCTATTTTCCAAGAAAAATAACTAAAGCCGGGGTTATTTTCTATTTTAATAAATTTGCTAGGTTATCAGTAATGTTGTTTGCACATTTCATGAACTTACCTACTGGAATAATGTTAGGATTTCCTCCAAAAAATATAAACTACATCCCATTGTCAGTAATATCATATCCATAAGCACACTCTGTTAAAACTGGGACAGTTAACGGGGCTCCTGGGTGGCTTAGTCGGTTAAGCATCCGACTTTCGCTTGGGTCATGACCTCGCAGTTCGTGGGTTCGAGCCCCGTGTCGGGCTCTGTGCTGACTGCCAGCTCAGAGCCTGGAGCCTATTTCAGTCTGTATCTCCCTCTCTCTCTGGCCCTCCCCTGCTCACGCTCTCTCTCTCTCTCTCTCTCTCTCTCTCTCTCCTAGAAATAAATAAAAATATTAAAAAAAAAACTGGGACAGTTTAGGGGCCCCTGGGTGGCTCAGTGGGTTGGGCGTCCGACTTTGGCTCATGTCATGATCTTGCGATGGGAGGGTTTGAGTGCCGCATTGGGCTCTGTGCTGACAGCTGAGAGCCTGCAGCCTGCTTCAGATTCTGTATCTCCTTCTCTCTCTGCCCCTCCCCTGCTTCTTCTGTGTCTCTCTCTCTCAAAAATAAGTAACCATTAAAAAAAAAAAAAAACTGTGACAGTTTATGTACTGATCTACTTTGTTGTTTAACATAATTTTTTGGGCTTTCCCATTTGTTTCCAGTTCTTGTTACTTAACACAGGTTTCATTTGGTGATTAGATAGAATGTTCATGTATTATCTTCTAGGCTTCCTGAGTCTGCTGATTTGAAAGCGTTTATGAGCCAATGAGTAATAGGTGAACTATATACTATATGGGTTTTGCAACAGTTGATTCAGAAGGAAATACAAATCACCACATTAACACTAGACTTTATTCCATTTGTCTGTCATTTAGTTTCCTTATGGTTTATCATCTTACAAAGCAGAAAAATACTATTGACATCGAAGAAGCTGCAACCGATTGTATCCCCACAGGCCTCTGTCCACTTCAAATACCACAAGCTATTTGCTATTCTTTACTAGCAAAACAATGTTGTGTGAAAGTTTACCAGAATTAATTTAGAATTTACTAATTACTTGGACAGGTATGAGTTCCATCATGGCACTGGGAGCTAAAACCAGAATTTCAATTGAGGACAACCAGATATTTGCATCCTAGAACAAAAGTGCATCATAAAATTAATAACTTAATGAACTAAAAGACACACAGCTCCCCTAAGGTAAAAAATACTTAATTTACAATCACTATAGAGTATGACAAAAGAGACAACATGAGGCCATAGATACTCATTTTTGAAGAAGTGTGAGACTCTTAACTTATATTTTAATATTTTGTTCATATATAGCCAGCAGAAAGAGGGAAAGCCAGCCTAGGGTCAATCCAAAGTTCTGCAGGAGAAACATCAACCAGGGTCGCTGTGTTTGAACATGAGTCATTTCAGGAAGCTAAAAAAAGAATAAAACACCAGAATAAGATCCAGATATATTCACTGCTGGGAAAAGTTTGGTGGGAAAACATGAGACTGTTATTCAGAACTTAATAACCTCTCAAATTCCCGAAACAGTTACAAAATGCTTAATACCTACTCTCAACCAAAATTTTAAAACGTAAGATAAATTAAGTCATTTGATCGCAGTTAGAAGATTCCTAGTGTTGCCAGAAGGCTTAAAATGACAGAGTTATCAACTGAAACCAAGCCCAATCCTTCTTATTTTTGTTTTCATGAAGTGTTAAATGTGAAGTAGATAATGGATGAAAAGTATTATTTTTGATTGTTCTATTAGGTTTATGAAGCCATTAAACTTACTGGTTGGTAAAAAGCGCATATTTGTTTCCTGTCAAAGACATCACCAAGGTCTTCCTGACCTTTAGAACAATAAAGGAATCATGCCCTAAAGCTACATTTTATTCTCCTAGAGACAAGTGACAACCGTTTTGTCTGCAAAATGGCTTTAACACCATTTAGAGCAAAATGTTCCTGTGAGCATCTGGGGGAAGCACCATGAGGTATTCGTTTTTATTTCTTTTTATATCTTTTTTTTTAATTGAAGTATAGTTGACACACAATGTTATGTTAGTTTTGAGTGTATGACGTAGGGACTTACCATCTGTATACCCTATGCTATGTTGGCCCCAAGTGTAGCTTCCATCTGTCACCTTACAATGCTCCTAATACTGTGGACTCTATTCCCTAGGCTGTATCTTTCATCCCCGTGATGTGTTTTTGTCTTACATTCTTTCAAATCCCTCCCCCTGGGAAGGTGAGCATAGATCTCTTGTATGACATAGTCATTTCTATTAGAAACCAGGCTTAGGTCAGCATGGAGGGGAGACTTAACTCAACCATGCAATTATTGACATTTTGCGGTGGACAATTCCTTGGTACAGGGGTTGTAGGACATTTAGCAGCATCCTTGGCTTCTACCTGACATATGTCAGCTGTACCTCTGATCCCAGTGGTGACAACCAAAAATGTCTCCGGATGTTGTCAAATTTCCCTGAGGGGTAAAAATCACATCTGGTTGAAAGCTCCTGGGTTATTTACAGTAAGAAAATGATAAAACATATAAAATACGCAAGGGTTTTAGATTTACGGCAATAGAAAACAGGTTGATACATTTTGTTTTTCTACACTGACATGTTATTTTAAGGCCTGTACAAGAGCCTCTTGGATGTTCTATTTGGATATGCTTGAGATGGATATTTCTCCCTTTTAAAATTACATAAACGGACAGAATGAAGACTAGGATTATTGTGTCCTGCTGTCTCACGCCCAGATGTGGAACAGTAGACTAAAAGGCAAGGAAGGATCCAGAAAGGCTGACCTAGGTGGATGACCTTAAAGAAATTATGCGTCCTATTTGGGTTTTTCTGCCATGGTTAAACATGAGGTTAACCAGACTACTTTAGAGTAATACTGTTTTGTTCATTATCTATTCTAAACTTAAAATGACATTTTGAAAACCCATGGAACATTCCCAAAGAGCCAGCAATTTATGGTACTCTTGAGGGATTAATGAGATACATGCATCAGAGTCACCCCATACATCTGATTCTCAATAGTTTGTAAGCAATTTCCAAGAGTTTACTCCAAGGTCAGACAACAGAGGCCACCAGTGCCTTCCTGTCTCAATAATTTATATTTTAGACTATCTGGGAGACACAATTATTCCATCTCTGGTAACATAAAGGCTCCAACTCTGATTGATAGGGAAAAATCTGTTATAAGATGGTTGACAGAACTGATGGGGAAATTCCTGCCCCTGACCAAAGACTCCCCTTCCGGGTTCTTCTTCCCATCCTGCTTGTCATGCGCCAAATTACTACTAATGAGGAATGTAGAAGTAACTGACTATAGATTGTCCCCTCTCCTTATGCTCGGTACTCAGGCCTCTGGAGAATGATCTCCTCTGAGCCTGCAGATATAAAATCAACCTCCTGCCTTCCAAGATCTCTGAGTGCTGCTTGGTTCTTCTGCCAGGTGATCCAGACCAGGTTCCGTAACATGATTAGCCTTATTTCCAAATACACTAAGATATCGCATAGTTCCCTCTCCTCCTTGTTTTTCAAGCAAGGTAATTAATATTCATTTATGAGATGTGAATGAATTAATAGCTCATCTTATTTCCTGCTTCATCTACTGCCACCTTTTCGTTGTTCATCTCTGATGAAGTAGAAGTCATTTCTAAAATGATTTTCTTGGCAAATGCTCATAAAATGTGAATAATTTACTAAACAATCATGTTGTTTTTAATGAATTGTTGAGAAAACTACTTCAGACCAGATATAAAGCATGGTGGTGAAAACAGACAGAACTTGAGATGAATTTTCAAACCACCAGTGTCTTAACCTACAGTTTAGAAAGCTCATTTTCTAATTTCCATCTTTGCCTCAAACATCTACTCAAGACCTTCGGTTGGAAAGAAGCAGGTCTTGATTAGGTAGATTTAATAGCCAAAATGTTTTATTTTTTAAATTATTTTTTTAATTATTTTTTTAATGTTTTATTTATTTCTGAGAGAGAGGGAGAAAGACAGCAGGGGAGGGCCAGAGAGAGGGAGACACAGAATCTGAAGCAGGCTCCAGGCTCTGAGTTGGCTGTCAGCACAGAGCCTGACGCGGGGCTCGAACCCACGAACTGTGAGATCATGACCTGAGCTGAAGTCGGACGCTTAACCGACTAAGCCACCCAGGCCCCGCCAAAACGTTTTAGATACCAAAACACAAAAATTAAATTAGTGTCCTGGGATTTCCCACAAAATCTCAGACAGTTTGTCATGACGAAATCCAAAAACACCACCATTTTTAAAAACAATTATTTGATGTATTGTTTTTCTCATTAGCCCAAGTTTGTAGACCCGCTGTTTGACTGTAGTGTGTAACACACAATAGAATTGTTTAAATGTGTTTCTAAGAGCTTCCAGGTTCTGTCAATGGCCCCAGTCCCAGAAAGAAAACCAGGAATCCTTTATTCTGAGTATGTAGAAGGCTTTACACACAAGAAAATTTCATGAGTATTTTGCAGCTCCAGGAGCCACCATGCACATGAACTCAATGTCTTCTGGGAAGTTTTGCAACTTAAAATGACATTTTGAAAATCCAGAGAATATTCCCGAAGAATATTCCCCTGTGCATGAGAAAGGGAAAAGGCCATGTTATCTCTAACAGATTCATAGGAGGCCATCCTGGCCTGAGTGGACATTTCTAAGGTACATGTATTAATCTCCAAGGGGCCTGCAATACGTCCCCAAGGATAGTTCACGGGGCAAACAGGAACAAGACGGAGGATGAATGATGGAGTTAGAGCCTACGCTCCTCTGTCCACTCAAGTGATGAGGTGAGCTGGCTTCTTGTCCTAGTTCTGACGTCATATCCATATGACTTTGAGTAGGTCATTATCCTCCTTGAGCCACTGTTTCCTCATAACCAAAAGGAGTTAGTAACGTAGCTCTTGCAGGATTATGAGGAGTAATTGGGGTGCAGGATATAAGAAAGGGCATGATAAAATGGATGTAAATGAAAGTCAGTGCTGCATGAGACCTTCAGCCAGAGCATCCTGAAGGACTTCAAGGGAAACAGGAGCTGCTAGAAGGCACGCCTAAATGGATGGCAAGGTATCATAGAGCCGGGTGCCTGGGTGGCTCAGGTGGTTAAATGCCTGACTTTGGCTCAGGTCAGGATATCATGGTTCATGAGTTTGAGGCCCGTGTTGGGAGCTCAGAGCCTGGAGCCTGCTTCAGATTCTGTGTCTCCTGTTTTCTCTCTGCTCTTCCCCTGTTCATGCTCTGTCTCTCTCTCTCTCTCAAAAATAAATAAACATTACAAAAAAAATTTTTTAAAGACTAATTTTGTAAGCCTGTAGAAATGGGCAAACAATGAAAATCAACATTTAAAAAAGTTTAAGGAGGGGTGCCTGGGTGGCTCAGTCAGTTAAGCGTCCAACTTCGGCTCAGGTCATGATCTCACAGTTCATGGGTTCAAGCCCTACGTTGGGCTCTGTGCTGACAGCGAGCTTGGAGCCTGAAGCCTGTCTTCAGATTCTGTGTCTCCCTCTCTCTCTGACCCTCCCCTGCTCATGCTGTCTCTATCTCTCTCTCAAAGATAAATAAAACATTAAAAAAAAATAAAAATAAAATAGTTTAAGGAGATTCTCATCTTGATTTGTATGATCTAGCTGAACTTTTCACGTCCACACATAAGTGGGTTTTGGTAAGAAAATCAAGCTAAGCTTGCTTTTGAGAAAATACTTGGCTCTTTTTTGGATGATTATGGATGAATATATAAATTGTAATATCTCTTGGATACGCACCAAAATACCAGAGAGTCTTACAAAAAGTCTTTCCAAAAGACACAAATGTAAAATGCCAAATCTCAACCATGTCTGATTACAGCATTTCACTCACTTTGAATCTACCCATTTTTTTTTATCATTTCAGTCACTAAATTTTGGAGAAAATAAAGAACTATATTAATTAACTTTTAAGAGTATATATTTTATTTTTTCTTTTTAAAAAACTCCTGACGTGAGTTTCAGTGCTACCCATTTTCCCCTGGATTTCAAAAGAGAAAAGTCCTTTTTTCCTTCAGGCAATTAAATTCTTTTATTGAACAATTTGACAGATCCTGATTATATCCTAAGACTAGAGGGGGTGAAATGATGGATAGAGTATGTTAACAATGAAATAAAAGGTCAGAAAGAAAAGAGAAGAAATGTTAGCAAATCACTTTTGCTCAGAGATAGAGCTAAGAGATATTTTTTTCTTAGATTTCTGCCAGAAACTTGGAAATCTGGAAGTATAAAGTAACTTTCTTTTTTACCTCCATGTTTAGCAAATTCCCCAACTCAAATCAGTGGATGCCAAAATATGACAGTCAAGGAATTGTAATTTTCTTTTTCAAAAAGAAAATCTTTACCTAACAGATAGCCCTTTAACGTGCCTTCTTC